GAATTCTATCTAATTTATATGCGTATTGTTTATTCGCGGTGTGCGTATGACAAATATGAAATTTGACATAATTGGCAGTAAAGTATAGAAAAAATCAGATTTGCACCGCCTCCTTAACCCTCTTGACATGGAAAATTAATTAAAATGTCAAAACGCCCAATTGTTACAAAATTACGACAAATATAAAATAAAGAATAAGGGAGGAGCGCCACATGATGCTAAGGAGGAGAACACAGTGCAGAACAGTCTCCGAAAAAAATCACGCAAGGGCAAGAAGAAGAAAGATTCTTCCAAAAAGAATTCGAGTTCTTCCCTGTCAATCCGATCAAACTCAGGTGATATTTATTTTTGTTATTTCTCATATAATTGGGGAGTAGTTTACTTTTCTAATTTAGGAGTGAAAGAAACAACTTGGTATGAAAGTTTGATATTAGACTTTGTTTCGATTTATATTATTTCTTGATTCCTAAGTATTTCTATAATAATTTTTTATTTTAATGTTTAATAATATTTGATTTGGTTGAATATTGTTGTCACATATTTTAATTAGATTAAATATTAATTGCTTAACTAAATTAGACGTCTGTGCGTTTTAACATTATTCAAGTAGTCACTACTAGCAAACACCATTAGTAAATTACGAAATCAATTTTAAACAATTTCGCATAAATAATTGTTAAATTGAATTAGACTTTTCTTACGTTCAAAAATAAAAAACTCAATCCAAAACATTGCGAAACAACTAAAAAATCTAAAAACACAAGTTAACATACCAAATATTTTTTTAACATTATCTAATCATTGTTCTCACTTGTTACATAAAATTGTTATTATTTTAAAATTATTTTTCACTTATAATAACATATGGAGTATATTTTATATCCAAATTTCGAAAAAATTCTTTGTATTTTAAACTTTTTCAATGATTTGAAGAACAATACTTTATCAAATCATTCAAATTTATATTATTATTATTTTTTAATTATTACAAAAGAAATGTTCACGTTTCTTTTTTTAAATAATATAGTATATCTATTTTTATTATAAAATAAAACCCAAAAAAAATTAATTATTATGCAACAATCAAATATTTTATTCTTAAGCTTCTAAGTTACATTTACTTTTTACATCATTATATTTAACATTAAAAATATCATTATACTTGTATAATAAATATTTGTACAATTTTTTCTTAATTTGTACTTACATTTTGATGTAATAATTAATATTAAAGAATCAACACACAAAATGTAAACGAAAACCTTAGGGTCGGACGAAGATAGTATATATTTTTATTATCTTAAAAAATATTCAAACTTTTGTAGAAACATAATATTATACTCATAATCATAAAAATAAACGTATAAATCCACCATTACTATTAACACTCCCTGTATATTAAACAAAGACATCATCAATCAAATATTATTTCTATTAAGTTCAAATATTATTTCTATTAAGTTCGACTAGAGATTTATCCAAAATAAATTAATTGAGCCAATTTATTAAACAAAGGCATCATCAATCAAATGTTACTTTTATTGGGTGACTGAAAATTTATGGAACATTCGCTGCTGCGAGTCCCACGTTATATATATAAATATATATATATATATATATATATATAAAGCATCATCAATCAAATGTTACGGCCAAACTTTTTGAAGACACAAATGGTCCACAACGACCATGACTCATCACCTCCTCCAATCAGAACCGTCCATCCACATAATCAACGGCCCTAAAGCTCTTCAAATTCTCCACCCTTGGATCACCTCCAAATCCCCTATAAGTGCAACAAAAAAAACTCCCTTTCTACTACAAAAAAAAAAGAAAATAGAAATCACAAAACAAACATAAACCATGGCATCAAGCAACAGAAGCCACAAGAAATCATCTCCATTTTCTGCCCTGTTCAACATCTTCAAAGTCGGCGGAGTCGGGACCGGCGGCAGGCGCCGGGACGAGTCCAAGGAATACTGCGACCACTACATGCAGGCAGGGATAGAACTACACTAGGGCTTGGGGAGCAATTGACCCCTCAAGCCCAATTTTTTATGATCTTTTTGTATTAAAAATATCAATTTTTATGTATTTATATACAATTTGGCCTCCAAAACTATCCAAATTCATATGTAATTTTGTCATTATATTTTATTTAAATTTATTAACTAAATATTAAATAAATTATAACATTTTGCCCCTTGGAAATTTCAATGCTAGTTTGGTCTCTGCATGCAGGCGTACAAAGTGTATCCGAGCGATGAAGACCGGGCCACCTGGTGGGTGGCCGAGCCGGGGATTGACAAGAAGGCGTCGGCCTACATCTCCTTGACTACTGATAAATGGGAAAAAATTAGCTAATGATTTATTTATTTAATCCGTTGGTTGTCTAAATTGATCCAATTTGATGATCATTGTGATCATGTTGGTAACCAAGTATTAGTTGTGTTTTTAATTTAATTGTAATTAATTTGTATTATTGATGTAGTTTTTATTTTAATTTGCTTGTAGTAGTGTGTATAGATTTGCATGTTGAATTGTATGCCAATAATTGATGAAGATTTGTGCAATGTATTGGACATTTATCTAATTGTTCAAATGTATTAATAATAAGCTTTTTATTATTGGGTGTTTGCTTATGTTTTAATTTTATTTTTCAGTTTTTATTAGTATTACTTTTCAAATAAAAATGTGTGTCTATATATATATATATATATATATTCCTTTACAACATATTACACTCAAAGTTATTTATTTTAATGAAAATGATATATTTAAAGTGATTGACGGCTATCTTCTTAAAGCATATTTACTATTATAATGTAATTATTTTATACTCCATCAGTCCCAAACACTTGCAACATTTCTTTTTTTTTTTTTTTTTCTCAAACTCACTGCAATATTTTTAAATTTAGAAATAATTAATAATATTTTTATATATATATTAATATACACTTCACTTCACTTTATCTCATCACATCACTCAAATAAAAAAAACAAATAATCATTTATCTCTCCAATCACATCACTTAATATCCAAATTATCTCAAATTACCATACTTAATACTCCCCATCTAAATTCTTGTGCCAAACACAAATGTTGCACGGTATTTAGGACGGAGGGAGTACTATTTTAAAGTACACATACTCTTCCACAATAGTTATTACTCCATTTGTTGTATAAAAATATGTCCGTACTTTTAATATAAGAGTTATGTGTCCGGCAATTAGCTTATAGCTGATTTGACAAGATGTTTTTATTAAAATATTTGGTAAAATAATTGTTTTGATATTAGTTGTTTATACGTAAAATGACAATTGAGGACATTTCTATTCTATTTTATTTTATTTTAATATATTCAATTGTATTTTTTTGAGTTTATAATGTCTTAAATTTTTTATTATTAGTTATTGAAAATTATAAAAATTTTATAAAATGGAATAGTATTTATTTTTATTATAGGTAGATTTAAAAAATAATATTTTTTATTGAAAAATATAAATAGTTTTTTTCTATTGAAAATAATATAAAATATAAAATAATAAATTTTTCATGTATATATTTATTATTTTAATTATCGATTAGTTAATTATATTTATAATTTTCAATAAATTTAATTTATTTAAATTATTTTTAAGTATAAAATTTATATAATGTAATTTTAATATAAAATAAATTATTAATATTTATATTTTCTATTTTGGGTTAATTTTAATAAATTTATATATTTATCTAAGTAAAATGCATAATAAATTTTCAAAGGCAATTAAGGAATAAAAAAATTAGACTGAAAAAGTTATTTCAAAACGCTTGGCTCTTCAGAAATTAGTTTTTTAGGTCCAAAAAGCTAGTCTAAAAAGTTATTCAATAAGCTAAAAACTCTTCAAAAAGCTCTTTGCCAAACATCCTCTTAGAGCTTTTTGAAAAGCTTTTAGTTTATTGAACAGATTTTAGCTATTTGACCAGTTAAAAAGCTAATTTAGGTGTTTGGTAAATTAATTTTTTGAAAAAGATTTTTGGACCAAAAAAACTAATTTTTGGAAGAATTTTTTATTTTAATTTTGGTTATTCCTTATTTACCCTTAAAATTTAATTATTTATATTATACATATAAATATATTTTTATAGAAGTATTTATTAATAATTTTAAATATATTTAATTTATTAAATTATATTTTTATTTTTGTAAATTTAAAATAATTACTATTATTAATTATTACATATAAATAATTTTATTTGTAAAATATATAAAATTTTAAAACTAAACCAAATAGAATAAATAAAGGTTATTAATTTATTTATATATATTAAAACAATAATTAACGTAATAAAAATAAAAATATATATGCGAAAGATTTATTATTTTATATTTTACATAATTTTAATAAAAAATATTATTATTTTTTAATAAAAATAATTTTTTTTAATCTATATAATAAAAATAAAAATAAATATTTTTATAATTTTCAATAATTAATAAAAAAATTCTCATGAATTTCAAGCCAAAATGAATAAAATTAAATATTTTAAAAAATAATATATCAATGTTCTTAATACTCATTTTATGTATAAATATTTAACGTCAAACAATTATTTTACTAGATACTTGAATACAAATCGCTAATTAATTAGCTAGTCAAACCAACTAATTGAATAAATTAATAACTATCAGCTAATTGTCACCCTTATATTTTATTTAAAAATAATAATGGGATATTATCTACTTGATTAGTCTGAATTATAGTATTATTTTATTCTTCACTTAAATAAATTATATTGATTGACTAACAGTACTTATATTAAAATTCTACAATATAAAAGATTAATTCAAATAAAAAAATATATCAAAACATGATCAAACAAATCCAGACCAATTTTGGGCTTTTAAATTTTGCTATTACCAGCCCATGATTAAGCCCAAATCCCATGAGGCGGTGACTCACAGGCAATCAGTAACCCTGTGACGTTATCAAACTCTCAACCCTTTATATTATTTATTTATTTTTATTTTTTCTTTCTGTCTGAAAGGCCGGAAAACAAAGAAGACGACCTGATTTGAAACACTAAACCCAAATTCTGCTCACGAATGTTCAACTAACGCGAGGTAAAGCTTCTTCGATCTCCAGGAACGGGTGAATTTGATCTTTCGATTAGTAAATCCATAGTGTATCAATATGAAATCTTCTTGCGTTTTATGAGTTTTTCGAAGCCTCATGAAAATTTTCCGTTTATAGTTGACATGTATGGACGGAACCCTAGGTTGGATAATTGAACGAGTTGATGGATGAAGTTCAAGAAGAAGTGATTCTCTTATATATAAATTTTTAGAATATGTATTAGTTAGTGTTTAGAATTGTTTATACCTGACACTACAGTGTATTCGATTTTTCTTATATGTTGTTGTTCAGGATTTTTTTTTTTTTTTTTTTTTGTTTTAATCATATATCTATGTATGTAATTAGTTTGATTTTCTGAAATATGTTCGAACGATCAGCTGGGAAGAAGTTCGCTTTTGGTGTTATGAGTCTTTAATTGTTTGTAGATTTTCCCCTCCTCCTGTTACAATCTGTGTTCTTTGTAATTGTTGTTAGGTGTTGGCATTGGAAGAAAAAATGGATAATAAATGGTATAGTGGCAAACAGGAGATGCACAATAAAAGGCAATTGAAAAAAGATGAGGTATGTTCATGTGATATAGTTATTTCTTTTTCCTATCATCACTTTGCTATGAATTACTGCTAAGGGTAAAGGGTTCACTTAATACTGCGCTCGATTGATTGTGGCGCACTGCTTGTTTATGTTCAGTTCACTGAAAAATTTTCTTACTTTGTTTATGTTCAATTCACTGAAAATTTATTGTTTATGTATTCTTCACCAGAATATGTGGGGCTCCTTAAGAAATTTCCTACATGAAAATTTTTTGTGGTGTCTGCATAAAGTTAATGTATTTCTAAATTTATACAGATTTTGTTAAGGTTGGATGAGTTTTTTGAATGTTGGTTCATTGGCTAAACATCACAAACAACAGAAGTTTACATATTATTTAAATTTAGATTTTCTCTTACGATGCAACTGAATGCCATTTCACTGACATAGGAATATGATGCTGCTGTTCTTGAGAATCTTGCCGAGGACTTCCGTCTACCAATTGATCATAGAGTTACAGATAATTTGGATTTGAATAATGTGGAGCAAGCATCATTAGACACAAAGTTGACTTCATCTAATGTTGGATTCAGGCTACTACAGAAGATGGGATGGAAAGGAAAAGGGCTTGGGAAGGATGAACAAGGTGCAGACAATAAATTGCCTTTGGATAGAACTTAAAATATCACCCCCCCCCCCCCCCCCCTTTTCCCTCCCCTGTCCACACACAGGTGTTTTTGTTGATCTGTGTCCTTAGGCCATTGTCTCTTCGTGTTTCATATTCTCATGGAGTTTCATCTCTTATGTATCGGTTCAAAACATTTTCTTTTTGACTTTTTATATGATTCCCTGTGCTCTGAGTATTTGTCCTTCAATGCTTTTCTACTTTTAGCTATATGCAAATGTGAGTATTTGCAAGATCTTCAGTGTTACTTATAAAGTGCTTATTTATATATGTATTCATTGTGCTCTGTCTCCTGGTCTACTATTTTTTTTGATATTGTGTTTCTAAATCAAATTTGATGTTTTCATTTATTTATTTTTTTCCAGGCATTACCGAGCCAATAAAATCTGGAATAAGGGATGCAAGATTAGGGCTTGGTAAACAAGAGGAAGATGATTACTTTACATCTGAAGAAAATATCCAACGAAAAAAATTGGATATTGAAGTTGAAGAGACTGATGAACTTTTGAAAAAGAGGGAGGTAAGCCTTTCATTTACCCGTGATGCTAAAAGAGAAATAGTTTTCATTTCTAGGTGGTTTGAACTGGATGCTTTACTTATTCTGAAACATGCATCTAATAGCAGAAGGCAGCATATAGCATATATTTGTGTCTTTTGATGGGAATGGTATATCATAAAGAGATCATCAACTTTGGGAGGTCTTGAGAATTTCGTGCAGTTTTTATTACCTGGTGGCTTCTACTGCCTGCTTCCTGCACATTCTGAAAATTCAGGTTATAGCAGAACGCGAACAAAAAATTCAGAGTGAGGTTAAAGAAATTCGAAAGGTGTTCTATTGTGAGCTCTGCAACAAGCAGTATAAATTGGCGATGGAGTTCGAAGCTCATCTGAGTTCATATGATCACAACCACAGAAAGGTTTGTGTTCCCTCTCAATGCAATTGTTACATTTTAGTTAACTACTAGTTTTATACTGATATCTCAAGTAGTCTCTTTTGCTACTCAAATCCAGCCAGAAAAGTTACAAATCATCCTTCATTCTGAAAATATTCGGATCTGGTTGGATACCCACTCTCAAACAACTCTACCGAACACCCACCCTTATATTGATTTATCGCATCCCATTAAATTTTGTTCTGCATTTCAGAGGTTCAAACAAATGAGAGATATGCATGGTAGCAGCAGTCGTGATGATAGGCAGAAAAGAGAACAACAACGTCAAGAAAAGGAGATGGCAAAATTTATGCAGATGTATGTAGGCTCATGCTATGAACCAGAATTGTTATTGTTTCCTTAGTGAATTTAAAATGTTGGGATTATTCTTCTAGTTAGTGCTTTGTTGCTAAGTCCTTCTATTTGATTGCATTTAACAGGGCTGGTGCTCGTCGGCAGCAACAGCAGCTACAGGTGCAGAGTCAGGAGGAAGCTGGAAGTGCTCCTGCTTCTACTCCTACTCCAACTCCAAACCCTACTCCAACTCCAGCAGCTAGTAGTGCTACAGTAGTTGTAGACCAAGATCAGCGAAAAGCTTTGAAGTTCGGATTTTCTGCAAAAGGCAGTACTGTGAAGGTGATGTTTTTTTGCTTCAATTATATATGCTGTACCAATTTACTCTTTATTGGTGCGTTGACCTTACATCTTAATGAATGTACATGTGGAGAGTCGATTTAGACAACCTACAAGCAGCTAGTAAACATGAAGTTGCAATACATTAATGTCAAAGCTTATATGGATATAGTGAAAATTATTACCAATTTGATCATCTTAAAAGTGTCGTGAAAATGCTAGTGTGATTTTGGCATAAAGAATTATGTTGTTTCTTATTTTCTACGCACACATTTATATATGATGTATATATGTATGTGTTATTCTGATTCTGAATTTTTGTTTGTAAGCAGAGCTCGGGTGGCAACACAACAAAGAAGGCAAAGGTAGTGGTAGCCTCAGTTTTTAGTAATGAGAGTGATGAAGATTAATATCGGAGAAAAGTGAGTGGCATGATGATGTATGTTAATTGTTTTTGGACAGTTTCTGTTCTTATTATTATCAGCAACAGTTAGCAGCATTTTTATTGCTATCTCGACCTCTGTATGTGTCCAATCTGTTTTAGTTTCATTATATATTTATTATTTTCATTATCAATAATGATTGATTAATTGTTGTATTATTTTCAAAGGGATACCACTAATGTGAGTCATTATCACTTGCCTCTGTTTGTTTATATCATCTTGAAGTTATTTTTCTATTAAAGTCTATTGGCTGGTGCCGTTCTACAAACTTCTATTGCCTCTTTGATTTCGTTTAATGATTTGATCCAATCAAATCAAAACTGTAGTTTCATGAATCGAGTGTTTTGCACCTGAAGTGTTTCAAATTTTGTTGAAGAGATTGCTTTTCCTCTTCATGGAGCTTTGCGGATCAGGTTGTTGCTTACAATGAACTTTTAGTTTGCGATTTTAGCCGTATCAGAGTTTGGCATGACTGAATTATCTTCTAATGTTACAGATTCTGTTATGCTATCAGCTGAGTAAATTGAGTTTCGATAATTTGATTCAAAGATTCATTGTAATAAATGTCATTATCATCCTAATTAGCAATTTGTTTCGAGGCTTTTTCCATGTACCGTACGTAGTGTTATTGTTTTTTGGACTATTTTTAATCATCGCACTGAAAGTTTCAATTTGGGTTTGTAAAGTTCATCGAACGTAGTCTTTATTAGGAGAGTTGAATTGCTTTTGGGACAAGTTTGTGATGGATTTAACAAAACAAAATAAGCCAACAAATGTGAAAAATGACATGTCTGGATCCACCAAAATTGGAAACCAAATTGTACATCATCTGCCTATGCTGTTATAATTCCTAAAACCATCTATCATTAGTTTCAGAGGAATTGAATTCTTGAAGAGTACCAAAGTTTACTTAAATGATCTATACACCCAAAAACTTTTACTGCTCATTGATTATGAGCTTCTCTTTCTCTTCTCTTCCATTACATTACATGGTTTCCAGTTAAATACCTAAAATTACCCGTCCCGTAATCATCGATGTCGCTGCAGCGACCAAAATAATAAACGGCTGCGAACTGCGCTGTGCTGCAGATACTGAAGATGTGTTGCTCATCAAAGGGTTGTTTCCGTAGCCTGCTGCGCCGCCGCCGAGGGATGGATCTCCTGGATTAAACATTGGCTGAGTCGCGCCTGAAATGCTGGACATACCGCGGAGAACGAATGTTAGATGAGCTCAGTTCAACTTAGGGATCACCCATTCTAGTACTACTACATAATTCTACTTCAAATTTATATTTACCTAGTCGGCGTTGCGCCTGATGTGGTTTCTGTAGTCGGGGTTGGTGTAGGTATTGCCGTAGGGGATGACGTGGTTGTCGGCGACCATGTTGTGAAAATGCAAGAACCGAAGCCTACATATAACGAAGTTTGTTAAATGACCATTTCATCTGTCGGCAGGAGATAATGGAATTTGAATATAAGACATTCCAATTCTGATACCATGTTAAATGACTATCTTTTATATGAGACGATCATTTGACAAAGTTCTAGTGTACTCACTTGGATTCACATTGGTGATGGTTGCCGTGCCCCCGAAGTCGCAGCTAGTCGGCACCGGATTCCTCTGGTAATAACTGTTGAACGCGTACGATGCGTGATACTGCAATGTGCTCGGATTGTAGCAACTGGCGCCGTCCTGGATGGCCGAGCAATCCGCGCCCCCAATCCCACAGGCATAGTCGAGCGCCGACTGGACAGCGCTGTCCGGCACTCCACTCCTGGCTACACACCAGCTCTGCCCCGGCCCGGCCACCGGATTATTTGCACCTAATGGGGTGGACGACGGAGATGTTACCGGTTGCGGCAGAGTAGCGCCGGGAGTGGTGACAGGATTTGTCACGGCCGGAGGATTCACTGGATTGGCTGAGGGGACTGTGACTATTGTGGGGACAGTTGGAGTGACTGGCGGCAGAAGCCCCGCCGTGGATGGTGTTGTCACCGGATTTGTTACCGGAGTTGCGCCGATGCCGGGGAAGCCGGCGCCGGGGTTCAAGAAATCGCGGCGAATTGCATCGATCTTGTGTTGGTGTTGGTGTAAGGGTGGATTGATTTTATGATGTAGGGAATCATCAAGTGTGGGAAGAAATGAGCCTGGAGATGAAACAGCCATGGTTGTTGTTTATTGTGTCATTGAAAGGTTTGTTATTTTTCTTTTTCGTCCGTATTAAAACAAATATTATTATTTTTTAATTCAGTAATGATATTATACAATATTAATAACTGTATTTTTGTGTTTTTCATTACAACTCAGTATAATACTAATATTAAAAAATCTACGTATAAAAAAATAAACGGTAACCTTTCTAAGGGGAGGGAGGGAGGAGTATTATGTATGGCTCCGTTTATTTAAGGAAATGTACTAATATAAACATATTATTATTACTATTATATTTTTTTGTAAAAATAAAAATCATTAGCAGAAGTACATGTTCAAATTTGGTAAAAGCAGTAGGCAAAAATGTATGAAATATTAAGAACATTTCTTCTACAGAGAGAGAAAATGAAACTAATAATATTAGCCTGATATATATATATATATATATATATGTTTGTGATGGAATAAGAGAAGAGAAGAGAAGAGTAGAAGCTAGAGAGAGAGAAAATAGGTAGAGAGAGAAGTGACCTGATGAAGATGGTGATGATGAGCACAGTAGTGTGAATTGAATGAACAACAATAATACCAAACATGGCGACTTAAGAGAAGAAGCTACTGCTGTTGAATCCATTTTAATCTTTCTCTCTCTATTTTTCAGGAGGGAGGGGTTGGTTAGTTCATTTGAAGGAGATCCACATTCAAAGGCTTTTCTTCGTTTTTTTTCTTCATTTTCATTATACAACAAATTAATATGTACTGTAAAAAAAAAAGGTGTATGTATGTATGTATGTATATATGTATGTATGGAGAGAGAGAGAATGGAAAAAGATGGGCATTATAATTTCGATATACATCAGACACGGACACAGTGCAGAAAAGATGTAAAAGAAAGGTCCATCTCGGGGAAGAAGAAGAAGAATATATATATATATATATATATATATTATTGATAAAGAAAAGTGATTCCTTTGGAAAGAAAGAGGATGGAATTTGAATGTGTGCAGTGCCGGTGGGACTGAAAAATATTATGGCTAGGAATATCTATATATATATATATATGCATTATATTTGGAATATTCAATTTTTTTAAGTAATTACATAAATTAAAAATTGTTACGTTTTATCAATTACTTTCTTTGTCATTAAATAAATATTTTATTAAAAAAATAATAGATAATTAAGGATATTTTTAAATTTAATTAGAAATTAAAGTAAATGAAGAGAGATAATGTAATAAAGTTGATATTTGTTGTAAATAAACGTTCAATGGAAGATTATAATTAAATGTTGATTTTGTCAAAATTATTAATGAGATAAAATTAGCTAATAGACTAAAAAAAAAATGAAAATAAATTTGGGAGACGGGATAATTAAATATATATTTTGTTGTAACAGAATATATGTTGTACTATATTAAAAAATATATTATATTTTCTTCGTCCAAGAGTTATTTCTCATTTATTTATTTGTATGTTAGAATTTTTTATATTAATTATTATATCAAAAATAATACAAATTAAAAAAATAACAAAAATACTTATATTAATGTCTTATAATTTTTTATACAAATTACACCAAATATAAATAAAAACTTACTAATTTTCGGAGATAATATATTTGTATTATATATACTGATTAGATCAAATTAGCATTATACTGATTTCAACTTATGAGGTAACTAAAATCAATAGGATATTATAATTATAGGGATTTGTGCACTTTTTTAATTTATTTTTGTATTTTTAGAAATTGCATATATCGGCTGTAAAGAAAAAAATTCTCATTTAATATGTTGAAGAACCACTAAAAGGTGTCGTTGAAAGTGAGGTATTGGGTGGGCTTTTATTATTATTTTATTTTTTTCATAAAAGATGTTAAATAATATTTATTTTTTATTTTAAATTAATTAAAAAATCATTTTTATGTAAAATTCTACATCAAGTATTTAATATTTTAATTCAATATTTTTTTATTTTATTTTATTTTATTTTTACACCTAGTTCTAAATCCAATTCTTGGAGCTACATCTAAACATGCAAGTAATATACTATTATTAAAAACATTCCAAGATAAATAAATATATAAGTATTTTTTCCCCAAAATTTAAAAGGTACTCTCTCCGTCACATGTATTATGGCCTATTACTGTAGATACGGAAATTTAAGTAAAGTGTGATTAATAAATAATTAAAATATATATTAGTATAAATAATTATCGTATAATAAAAATAATTGTGGATTAAGATTAAGATAACTAAATAGTTTAATTAAGATTAAAAAATTTATAAAATTTAAAATTAAAAATGAGATTAAAGTGTATAATTATATTTCCAAAAAAAGAATTGACAAATTATGTAGGACGGACGAAAATAAAAAATATGGATAAATTATGTGGGATGGAGGGAGTAATATTTTGTTGGCCTACACCATCCATATTTTTATAATAAGTAATTAATTTTATTAAGTATATGTATTTCTGACATAAGGCCAACCCAACGTCATTGTCTTCAATCGATGCCAAATGTGCGTCATTTTTTGGCGTTACTACATTGCAACGTTAAAAAATGGTGTTGCTCTCTTATTTTATTTTATTTTTTTAATTTTTAAATTTATTTTTTAAAATTTTTAAAAAAATTATTTTAAATTATAAAAATAAAAAGTTGTTTAAAATAATAGGAAAAATTGAATATTTGAAGAATAATAGTGAAAAATAGAGTTATAATTGAATTAAAATTACTAAAGTAACTAAATATTTAGAGGATGGCCTAAGTTTTGAAAAATATAGTGTGTTCAGTATGTTTCCAATTTAAACCTTTTTTTAGGTAAAAATAGTGATTAGATATTGGGAATGATCCCTTTCTATTTTTGGTTGAATATATTTTTATATCAAGTATGAAAATTGTATCAGTAATATAAAAAAAATACTTCATTTGTCTCATTTATTATGTTCACCTTTCTATTTTCATATGGTCACTTATTATATCACTTTTTTTAAAAAATAATAATTATGCATTTTAATTTTATTTTAAATTTTTTTAATTTTAATTAGATTAATGAGTTATTTTAATCTTAATTTAAAATTATTTTTATTATACTATAATTATTTTTACTAATTATATAACTTCTAAATTTCTGTATCCACAGTGAAAGGAATACGATAGGCAAGACTGAGTGAATAATATTTTATATTAAATTATTGAATTTTTATGAATGAATAAAGTGTATATATTATATCAATCGATGTGTATACTATATTATATATATTGTATTTTTTTTTATAATGTTTACAGAAATTATATTATGAAATAAAAAACACAAACCTATAAATCTTATATAAAAAGTACAATTTTTTATTAAAATGATAATATATATATATTTAAAAAATGGGATAAAGTGAGAACAATAATTTATGAAACTTTAAATCCGGCTATTGTATGCTTCTTTCCTTTGTTCCACCAAATATGTCATGCAGATAAGGGAATATAAAAATATTATAGTTAATAAATAATTGAAAAATATATTAGAACAAATAATTATAAATTAAAATTAATTAAATTAATCAAAATTAAAAAATAAAAATAAATTAATTTATAAAATTTAAAATATATAATTATTTTTCAAAAATAAACAAATAAAAAAATTATGTAGAACAAATCGAAATAAAAATATTGAACATTTATGTGGGACGGGAAATTAACACTATATTTTATTTTTACTTGTATATATATATATTTCTTTAACATGTGTTTTTGGGCACTACTATTTATCTTTATTAGACATATTTTGATAATTATTTAAAGTGATTCCATGTTTGGCCAAATTAAAATAAAATAAATTAAATTAAACCAGATAAGATAAGATCATCAGATCCATCAAACTCCTCATATGATTCCAAAGGTATCTTATTTATTCATCCATCTTGTTATGCTGCTACTTTATCCCATAGATATATTACTATCAATTTCTTATGTATATGCATATATATATATATTGAGTTTGTTTTGATAATTTTAATTAAAATAATATTTTGATGTGATATTTTATTTTTTAGAAAAAATAAAAAAATAAATTTCAACATTTGATGCTTTCACATAAATTATAGTTGTGCTGGTGTTATTTAAAATTTTGATTTTAATATTTTATTTGAATAGTTATTCTTATAAAAAGAGCAAATCATCAATTAATGTTCTTAATTTTCATTCCACCAATTTATAATCCATATATATATAAGTTTGATATATATATATATATATAAACACAAAAGGGTTTGTTAACTTGACCTTTAATTTTGTGTTTCATTTAGTATTTTGGTTTAAAAATGAATTTTTGTATAATATTTTATGAGATATTAAAATAATTTTATAAAAAATCAATATGAGTTGAATGAAAAAAAAAAATTACTCCCTCCGTCCAAGCTAAAAGTATATAATTACTTTTGACGCGAAAATTAAGGAATAATAGTATTTTAATTATAGTAGGTAGGTAAAAGTAGTAAAATGATATTTTTGCCCTTACTTTTTTGGTATAAAAGTAATGATGTGATGTAAAATAAGGGTATTTGTGGAAAAAAACAGAGTATTTAATGAAATGGTTACTTTGTAATTGGACGTCCCAAAATAGAAATATGTATACTTTCTAACTAGACCGGGGACTAAATAAATAAACAAAAACAACCAAAGAAACTTCATGCAAACGCAGGTCGCTATTCAAATCAACAAATTCGAAGCCAAAATTCAAAGTAAACACAAAATATTCCTTAAAAACTATACATTCCTAATGGTGTCTATTTGCCGAATTTAGTGCTAATTAAATTAAGTGGTTTTGATTTAAAATATATTTTATTTGAATTTTTTTATTTAAATAATATTTTAATATAATGGAGGAGCACTAAATTAAACAGCAGACAGCTTTAGACAAATGGTGTAAATAAATAAATAAATAAAATATATTATATAAAATAAAGCAAAAGAAGCAATGGAAAGGCATACACATTATCTGTTAAAGGAAGAAAACCTGTGCGTGCCTGCTTGCTTTTTATTTTTTCACTTTTGATCATCCGTTCAGACCTGTTAATTTATCATAATAAAATCAAATATTTATTTTTAACTTTTTTATACTATATTACAATTAATTATACATTCAAAATATTATATATATATATATTGATATTTATATCACATTAAATATTATTGTAATTTAAAATTTAGCATTTAAAATTTAAACTCAAAATAAAAACACCTACGAAAATGAACTTGTTTAGAGGCTCTAACTTACTCTGAAAAATTTAGTTGAATATATGTTTTCTTGTATTTTTATTTTTCCGATCTAGAAAGATATGCATAATAAAAGCATATTACATATTGTTAGAAATTTTGATCATTTGCAGGTTAACCCAACTATTCGGTAATCAATCATTAAATTGGTTCGTTTTTTAGTATGGTTCATTAAATTTGACCCAAGACTCTTGAACTCAAATCCAAACTATAAAATCTATTCCTAATCCATTAGTTGTTTGTTAAGCTTTGTTAGGTGATTTTTTAGTCTCAATCATATTTAACTCTCGAGAGATATATGTGTTAAACTTTTTTTTAAGTAAATTTTTTGTATCTTGATGAGTATTGAGATATTAGTTTCAAAAGAGAAAAAAGAAAAAGGAGAAAGCAACCTATAGTTCTGTGATTTTTCAGTGAAAAATGAAAATTTTTTTTGTGGACAATTTTCATGGTGTTACACTTAGACTGCTTGTTGAGTTCGCTTGGAATAAGTGGTTACCATATACTATTTTACATACCTTGAGTCTAAGCCGAAAGTTGTCATAATCACTGGTAGATTAAAGTAAGAAAGAAAGAAAGAAGATCGTGATGATGTTGATTTGTTTGTGTTGTTCCAGCCACCGG